GCCATCATCATTTTCAAAACATTTTCTTACTACTTGAGCCCTTGGTATCAGCTCATTTTCCCCTCCCTCCCCCATGAACCCTTGATAATTTATTATTTTTTCATGTCTTACACTGACCAATGTCTCCCTTCACCCACCCACTTTATTGTTATCCATCCTCCTGGGAGGGGGTTATATGTAGATCATTGTGATCAATCCTCCTGACTCCCCACACCTATCCCTTCCCCTCCTGGTATGGTTACTCTCATTATTGGTCCTGAGGGGTTTATCTGTCCTGGATTCCAGGTTTCCAGGTCTTATCTGTACCTGTGTACATACTTTGGTCTAGCCGGATTTGTAAGGTAGAACTGGGGTCATGATATTGGTGGGGAGGAAGCATTAAGGAACTAGAGGAAAGCTGTTTAAACGGTGCTATACTTAATGCACCCTGACTGGCTCGTCTCTTCCTTGTAACCCTTCTGTAAGAGGATGTCCGATTGTCTACAGATGGGCTTTAGGTCTCCACTCCACACTCCCCCTCACTATGATATGTGGGGTCGTTGATGCCTGATATCTGATCCCATCGACACCTCATGATCATACAGGCTGGTGTGCTTCTTCCACATGGACTTCGTTGCTTCTCAGCTAGATGGCCCCTTGTTTATCTTCAAGCCTTTTAAGACCCCACACACTATATCTTTTGATAACTTGGCACCATCAGCTTTCTTCCCCACATCTGCTTATGCATCCCATTTGCCTTCAGTGATCATGTAGGGAAGGTGAGCATCTCAGAATGCCGGATTATTAGAACAAAGTGTTCTTGTGCTGAGGGAGTACTTGAGTAGATGCCCAATGTCCATCTGCTTCCTTAATACTAAACCTATAAATATACGTACAGAGATCTATTTCCCTATCATTATATATAAATATATTTACATATGTACATGACTGTATTTAAACCTCTGTGAATGTTCTTTGCCTCCTAGTTCTTTCCTCTATTTCCTTTTCTTTTGTCCCACTATCATGTTTGGCATTCATTTGGGTTTCAGTAACTCCTCTAGGTTACAAAGCCCTTGATCAAGCCCCACCAGGCATCCTATATGCTCCTTGGCATGAATTTTAGATCACTGGTTATTCTCGTCCCTGGGTTTGTTACCTCCACGTCCTTTCCCCCTCCTTCCCCTCTTCCATGTCTCCCCAGAACCACTGGTTCCATTGTTTTCTACCCCAGATTGTTTATTCCCCCTATCCTTTTTTCTTTGATTACCAAAATGTTTCAATTTTTTTAATTAATCGTTTTATTAGGGGTTCATACAACTCATCACAATCCATACATACATCAATTGTATAAAGCCCATTTGTACATTCATTGCCCTCATCATTCTCAAAACATTTGCTCTCTACTGAAGCTCCTAGCATCAGGTCCTCATTTTTTCCCCTCCCTCCCC